GGCAGGCAGGCAGGCAGGCAAGCAGGCAGGCAGGCAGGCAGGCAGGCAGGCAGGAAATTGCACAGTAAGGTATTGGACAACAGGCCAACATTCAAATTATCATCATCCTAGGTATCCCAGCTCACCCCTTTTTTTTAAAGCCTAAAGTGTACCAATCACACCCCCTGGAAGATAATTTCCAATTTTGAAAGAAGTTTTCCCTGGACTTAAAACCAGTTGCAAGGTGTAGTCCAGTGTGGCTAGTCATAGCTCAAGGAAGTTTCTTGAGATGCCATTGGCCATTTTTAGGGTGGGGCAGTATAAGAAGGATCAAGGGCGCCGTTTGAAATCATTGCTATTTTCTGTTCTACTACAATGTCATTTGCATACATAACATTAATAATTTTCTTCTGCCAGTTTTCACTCCCTCTTTATCTGAATTTAATCAAGCTTTTTGTATGACACTTTCTACAGAAAGACTGAACTGACAGAGAGGTGAAATACAGCCTTCTCTAACACCTTTGCCAGCTGGAAAGTGTTTTGCTTCTCTATATTCTGTCCTGTCAGTAGTGTCTTGTCCAGAATATAGGTTACATCTCAGGAGAATCATGTCCATTTATTTTAGAATGAAGTACTGTAATTAGGGTATTGCTCTAATTTCTTTTAGCAGTAAGGATTTTTAAAGAAAAAACATGGAAGTTAATAGTAACTTAGTTACCTGCAATACATAGCATTTATGGCAATTGAGGGTAGAACAAAGTAAAGCAATGAGTAGGAATCAGTGCTAAAGTGTTCTTTATGTAAAGTGAGGGTGCTGTTACTGTGGACATTTTTATTTCATTTGCAGCCTGTATTATGTTTGAAATTGCAGTCAGTGATCACGTGGGCGCTGAGGAATGACTGGGAGGAAAAAAGGGGACTGGACCAATTTGCAGCAACCTTTGTGGCATGTGGTCAATAGAAAATAATTCAAATCCACCAATTTTATAAGCAGAGCAAATCCCACAATATTTAACCATGTAGTTGCTGCCAAAGTAAGAAAAAAACAAGCAACATGATAGTGAGTAGTTAATAATGTAAAAAATACTTTTTAAAACATTGTAACAAAAAACAGCAACAGATTATGTTTTAGACGCAATAATACATAACATGAACAAAAAGCTTCCAAAGCTACATTGAGCACTTACAGACTAACTAGGAATACCATAACTTCTTGCGTCCATTTCAAAAGTATGTAGTCCTTACAAGCCTCAGCAGATGGTGCTATTCAATAGGCTAATAATTTTACTTTTGTAGAACAAATTATGTTCTCTAGCCTGATCATATTCTCTGCTTCAGGGAGCTTGTAAGTGACGAGTTACAAATAATTTATTAGAATATCAGTCACACTCCATGGAAAACCTATCAACATAATCAGGACAACAGAGTTAGAACCCTGATTGAGGTTTTTCAGCAACTGTCACACAGAGACAAAGACAGAGAGAACTACTGTATTACAATAATCAGTGCAAAGAAATAGAGAACAACAAAAAGAGAAAAACAAGAGCTCTCTTTCAGAAGATCCAAGAAATTAAAGGTAAAGCCTAGACTAGGAATGCTGAATGACCAACAGGAAAGCATACTATCTGACCATGAGAAAATAAACTAGAAACAGTATATGGAAGACCTATACAGAAGAGATAAAAGTATGACATGTGTTTGAAGAGGAATCTTAGGATGAAGAACTTGCAGTTCTAGCAAGTGAAGTGAAAACTGTATTCGTGAAGGCTTTCACCGAAGGGATATAAAGATTGTTGTGGGTTTTTCGGGCTCTTTGGCCGTGTTCTGAAGGTTGTTCTTTCTAACGTAACGTTAGTCTCTGTGGCCAGCATCTTCAGAGGACAGGTGTAGCCCTCTGTGCTCTGGTCAAGTGAAAACTGCTTGTCATCAGGTGTAAAGGAAATACAATAGAACTGCTCCAAGTTACATAGACAGAATCTGTCAGAATCCTAACAAGTGCAGTATATGCCAACAAATGTGGAAAACAAAACAATGGTTCACAGACTGGAGACATTCAGTGTACATTCCAGTCCCTAAGAAAGGAGGTGCCAAGGAGTGCAGGACCATTGGTTGAGTTTCCCATGCAAAACAAAGCGATGCTCAAGGTGTCGCAACAAATACCTTATATGGAGTGAGAAATGCCTCTGGCAAGGCACCTGGGAAGGATAACATCCCTGCTGAAGTGCTGTAAAGAGACCTTCGTCACTGAGCTGTATGAAATATTTTATCTTTGCTGGAGGGAAGGTGGAGTACCACAGGACATGAAGGATGCAAACATCGTCATGTTGTGCAAGAACAAGGCAACAGGGGCGACTGCAATAACTACCGTGGCATCTCTCTTCTCAGTGTTGTAGGGAAGCTGCCCGTGTTGTGCTAATGAGGCTCCAGTTGCTTGCAGACAGAGTCTATCCAGAATCACTGTGTGGATTTTGAGCTTATAGATCCACCATTGACATGGTCTTTTCCCTCAGAGAGTTGCAGGAGAAATGTAGGGAACAACGACAACCACTCTTTGTTGGCTTGGGCATGTCATGAGAATGGCTAACGGTTGGATTCCAAAAGATCTCCTGTATGGAGAATTAGTGCAGGGAAGTCACCCCAGTGGGATCTGAAGGCCTTAGGAATGGACCTCAACAGATGGGAAACATTGACATCTGAGCGTTCAGCCTGGAGGCAGGCGATGCAGCATGACCAAAGCAAAAAGGCAGTGCATCGTGGCCTCTCCCAATTTGAAGAGACACTTGTTCAGCAGGCTAAGGCAAAGAGACAGTCCCGAAACCAGCAAAATTTGTCTTCAGTGTGGAAGGGATTGCCACTCTCAAATTGGCCTTCTCAACCACACTAGACGCTGTTCCAAGACCTCTATTCAGAGTGTGTTACCATAGTCTCTCCACACTGAAGGATGCCTGCACACATTGGAATGTACCAAACAACTTCAGAAAAAGATAAGTCTATGCTTTACAGACTACAGTTCAGTCACCACAGTTCAAGAAGCATATCAATGAACTGGAATGTGTATAATGGAGGTGACCAAGGTTTGGAAATCAAGTCACGTGAGGAATGGTTGATGGAGTTGGGTTTGTTTATCTTGAAAAAGAGAAAGGTGAGAGATAATAAGAGACCTATCTTTACATATTTGAATTGTTTTGACATAGAAGATGGAGCAAGCTTGTTTTCTGCAGCTGTAGGGGGTAAAACTGAGGCAATGGGTACAAATGACAAAAAAGGAGGTTTAGATTAACCAGAATTAAGAACTTCCTGACAGTAAGAGTTGTTCTTGGCACAGTCTACCACAGAAAATGGAAGCCTTCCTGCTTCATCAGGGAGTTGAACTCAATCATCATTTGGGTAATGTCCAGCTGTACAATTCTATGGTTCTATGACTTCACAAGAGGTTTATCAAGAGGGCACATTTGAGCAGCTGAGAAAATATAGCTTTATATTAGAACTGCAAAATGTGGACATATGTAATGTAACTGAAATGTCTAGAAAGTGTTATTTGGGAGAAAGTGGTATGAAGTGAGGAGTTACTGGACCTGTAAATTTGCTTTCTTCTTCATTCTTAGAACTACTTAGATGCAAACAAGTTGAGACTCTGGGACTTCTTTAAGAATATGGACAAGTATGGCAACATGAAGATTCCTGTGGCAGAATTTCGGAGAGCCATGATGCTGGTAGGACTTCAAACACAGACCCTTTAGAAAGTGTGAACGTCTTTCCTATTATGGTTCCCCCCCATACTGTAAATTTAGCGCTGTTAATTTTAGATCCGAAAGTCCAGTCTCTTCTCAGAAGGACCATTTCCAAGGTTTCCATGGTTGGCCTGGTACAATGATAGTTAAGCAGGAATGAAACCAATGCAAATTGCAAGTGCCCCCTAATGCAATGGTCCCCAACCTTGGGCCTCTAGATGTTCTTGGACTACAACTCCCAGAAGTCTTCACCACCACCTCTGCTGGCCAGGATTTACCCTAATGGATATTGCATGTCCCCTAGGTCAATGTACTAGAAAGAAGAATTGCTATCTGTCAAGGTAAAGGTACAGTGGTGCCTCGCAAGACGGGCGCTCCGTTTAACGACGAATATGCATTATGACGAGGTTTTTACGATCGCAAAACGACGTTTTGAGTGGGAGATTTTCGCTTCCTGATGATAAAAACAGCTGATGGTTGGGTTTTCAAAATGGCCGCCGGGTGCTCAAAATGGCTCCCCACTGTGTTTAGGAGCCATTTTTCGCTGCACAGGCACCCGAAAATGGCTGCCCCATGGAGGATCTTCGCTGGACAGTGAGTTCTTAGCTGATTGGAACACATTAACCATGTTTTTAATGTGTTTCATTGGCCTTTTTTTTCACTTTACGACGTTTTCGTTCTACAGCGATTTCGCTGGAACAAATTAATGTCATAATGCGAGGCACCACTGTAAAGGTAAAGGTTCCCCTTGACATTTTAGTCAGTCGTGTTCGACTCTAGGGGGCGGTGCTCATCCCCGTCTCTAAGCCCTAGAGCCAGCGTTTGTCCAAAGACAGTTTCCATTGTCACGTGGCCAGCGTGGCTATACACGGAATGCTGTTTACCTTCCCACCGAGGTGGCACCTATTTATCTACTCGCATTTACATGCT